TGGGACAACATGTCTGTAACTGTGTCAGTTTGTGTGACAGAATGCCATTTAGTCTGTGTGATAAATGTCTGTCAGTCTTAGTCAACTATTGGGCAGCATGTCTGTCATAATCTGGATGACAGCATGTCTGTCTTATCCACAACATTTCTGTGGGTTTATTAGTCTATGTGACAGCATGTTTGTATCTCTCTATAGTCATGTGTGAGAGCATGTCTGTGTAAAAGCATGTCTGTTTGTTTTAGTCTGTGTGATAACATTTATGTCTCTTTAAGTATGTGTGAGAGCATGTCTATCTGTCTTTGTCTTTGTAACAGCATGTATGTATCTCTGTTAGTTTATGTGACAGCATGTCTGTATTTCTATAAATCTGTCTGACAACATGTCTGTCTGTCTTAGTCTGTCTGTCTGTGTGTTAGTTTGTGTGACAACATGTCTGTCTGTCTTAGTCTGTGTGTACCTCTGTTACATTATATGTGTCATCTGTTTCTCTGTAAGCCTATCTGACAGCAAGTCTGTCTGTCCTAGTCTTTGTAACAACATGTCTGTCTGTCTTAGTCTGTGTGACAGCATGTCTGTTCTGTTTGTCTGTCTTAGTCTGTCTAGGAGCATGTCTGTCTGACTTAGTCTGTTTGACAACATGTCTGTCTTATTTGTGTGACAGCATATAGTTCTGTCAATGTATATGTGACAGCGTGTCTACTGATAAACGCTGTGACAGCATGTCTACTGATAGATGGTTTGCCAGCGTGTCTGTTTGTTTTAGTCTGTGTGACTTCTGTCTCTTTAAGTCTATATGTCTTAATTCTCTGTCTGTCTGTTAGTCCCAGTTACAGCATGTCAAACTTTCTGTTTGTCCCATAGGATACATTCTCAAGATGTTAAAGGATATGCCATCCTCAGCCAGGAAGGATAACAAATAATAACCATTATTTAGTTCAAAAGGTCTCAAAAGGAAGCATTAAATTGAAATCTTTTCGTGCAACAATTTTCATTTTATGTATTGCAGTATGATTAAAGGTTCTTTGAAGTCTTAGAAACAGTATTGTAAAAAGTTCACATTTTTAACCCATAAAAGAACAAAAATAAATACATTTTTAGAGAGATAGAATTTCCTATAATCTAACTTTAGATACCATCATATCATCACTTATTAGCAAAAGATGAAATTCCATGTGATCTGTGATGTTTTGCAATGATAGAACAAGCTTTTTACAGCATGTTTTATGTAACAATCAAAGTAAATAAAAGAACTAACATACCATATAAGTAGAAAAAACATGCAATTTTCTCTGAATGCCTGGACACCTATTCTAATTTATCCTAAATTATAACTGTTGATCAATTTAAATTAGAAAAAGTATAGCTGGTGCATCTATTCGTGTTTCTTGAAAATATATCTGAGATTTGGCAATTTTCCCTTTATAATATGATTAACTTTAATAATGAACTTTTGAAGGGATACCATGCATGGGTAAATACCCATTATTTTGTGAATTCAGATATATTTTTGTGAACATTTATAATTGCTCAACTGCTGAGCTGATTTTCACAACCTGATGATCGGACTACCTTAACTGTGATAACTGAGAAAAATTGTCCCTTTAATTTTTGCTTTCAACGAAATTATTGACTACCAAAATGACTTTTTTAATGCTCAACGCATGCAGTTATTTAAGAAATAAAATATCATTTGAAAACTTTTATCGGGATGTAAATACGTATTTACATCTTGATAAAAGTTTGAAAATGATATCTTATTAATGATATTTACATTTGAGATTGATTTACAACGTATATTTATGTGATGACGTTTTAAATCCATTATATGATTTGATTTCTTCAAACGTTGTTTAGATAGTGTTATATAAGGGAAAATATTTGCAAAGGTAAATATTGATAATTTCCTGAAAATAAAGCAGGGATAATTGATAACTTTAATTTAAGTGAATATAAAAGAGAGATAAATGTCATTGAATACAAAAATATGATTATGACGTTACTGTTAAAAATGAAAATAATGATTGTAATATTTAGAATAAACGATTTCAGCCAAAGGTGATTGTGGACCCCCCCCCCCCCCCAATACACACCCCGAGTCCAAAGATATTTTTGTCTTCTTTCATAAATTATTCTTCTAGCAAACATTTACAATGTTTTCCATATGGTAATTCAAAAAAAAAAAAAAAAAAAAAATAGAATAAATGTTTTATAAAAAATTAAACCCGCAGTATTAGAAATGATTTGTGAAAGAAGATAAATAAAAATATCCTTGGATCCAGGATGTATATTCGTTGGGGAGGAGAGAGTCCTGTCGAAAGCAACTGTGATTTCAGCTGGTCTTTTAGTATATTCTGACAATACTTCAGCCATAAGAAATAATTTTGTGAAGATGCTCCTTATTTTTCGTTTGTTGTTATATGAGGTTGATCAAAAGTAATGTAACTAATTAATGCTTTAATATCTTTCGAAAGGAAAGTGTATTAAGATTGTATAGAGGTAGTGATATTCTTTTGGATCCACCTTCGTATTATCTACAACAATTAAAATGCAATGTTCATCACTCGGTAGAAAGTAGATGATAGAAATTAAAATTCATCGACATATTTCATACATAATGTTTTTATCTTATTGCTTTAATACATTACAGCATGTCATTACACAGAATTTCAAAGATATTCATCTTGTATTTGGTAGATTTTGACACCGACTTAAAAAAAAAGTCAGAATTGAATAAATGTACATTAGTAGTCTGATTAAAAAAAGAAACTGCAATAAACTGTTTCCTGTATTATCTACATATTTGTTTAAAATATTTGCACAAGTAATTCATGCATGTTTTCTTTATATATTTATCGTTCAAGCATTATATTGAAAAAGCACCAAGTTCTGACAAGATGAACTTGTGTGTCTTCGTGGGTGAAAAATATTTAAAGGGGTGGTGTAGTAATTTGGATTATATGGACTTCGTAGATTTCGGTCTTGCTAGTTCAGTGTTTAGAGCATCTGACTAATAAAACAAGGGACCCGACTTCGATTCCGTGTCCAGGCATATACTTTCTCTATGTGGTTATGAGTTTTCAATATAAATTTATTCATTCCTCCTTTCCAGACTAAGAATACGTTCTGTTGGTCTCCATTTGGAGAAAATTAAAAGGAAATATTGCGCATTTTTTCTTTTCATATTCATTAAAACTACGGCATTTTCAAAGAAAAACTAATTACTGTTGCAGTTGTTTTTTTATGAGCAAATTTAATTACAAACAATGATCTGGAAGGTTCAAATTGTCCACCGTCAATTAGTAATTCATAATTCGAGCAAATGGTGTTTGAATAATTCATTTCAGTAATTTTTAATTCCAAAACTCCCTCTTTAATGCAAAAAATTCAGTTCACATTACTATAGATTACTCATAGTTTTATTTTTCCCCATATCTATATTACAAATTTAGTATTTTACTTTTTTCACCAATTGCAATTAAAAGCTAAGGTTTAGGATTTCAGCCTTTTTAATTAACTTATTATTTTTGTTTGAATAACGAATGACAGAGGAGGGTTGTTAATTTTTTCCCTTACCAGGACTGTCATTCATGTTAACCATCACGATAATTAACATTTCAGTTACGAATAACATGTAAACTATAATTGGACAAATTAAGTGAATATTATATACCAAAGGAAAAATAAAAAAGAAAAAGCTAAAATTCACAAAAAGAAATAATAATAATGATAAAAATTTATCGAAAAGGCTAGGTGTATTTTTTTAAAGTCAGTTATATAGTTACAGCTTTTCCGTCTGTTCCTTCAATTAAAAAAAATATGCACACTGTATGAATGTCCACATATTGATTACAACAATAACTATGTAAACAACATTTAGCATATGTTGATCACAATTATCTTGATTGAAATAAAGGATAAACAACAAAATATTCATCACAAAAACATCCGGCAGTAACGTAACATGAAGAAGCAACATTTTTACATAAAGTGATTTTTTTATGAAATGCATATATGATTTATGATTCAGATAACCATGTTTTGTCGACAATCTCGGTTACTTGTTTATTTTCTAGTCGGAAAAATAAAGCGTAGAAAAACAATAATGTTATCTAGTCTAGAATTTTTCCGTAAAATTTTCCAGCCTTTTCCGCCAAGACTCGACGAATAAGGCTGAGTGATCTTCTAACTGCATTTTCATTTCAAATATAAAAGAAGTGGCAACTCATATTTTGAATTAGTCTGAACATATCCTTTGGGAATATCTGCCTGACCTTAAAATTTGTTGTTATACATGTACTAGGTATTGCTGCAAACAATCTAGATTCTACTTAAGAGTTATAACAGATTGTAATACAACGACTATCATATAACAAAGAACTAAGTAAGTATATTTTTCCTGATTTTATCATAACATATATTTCTTTATTCTTTTATTTCCCTTTAATATTAATGAATATATAGATTTTATCACTACCTTATTTTTATGAATAACGAGGAAAACCATTCTGTATCTTTTATAACCCCTTCCTTCTTTCTTCTCTCCTTGCACTCCTTTTCCCCTCCTTTCTAAATTCTCTGCATCTTTTTCTTCCTTCTTTTTTGTATTGTACATTTGTTGGTTGTACATCACGTGTATATGTTTTTGTCATTTTCTTTCTGTTGGAGAGGACAATCTAAGTTGGAATAACTTGTGTCCAATCCCATTGATTATGTATCAATATAATATGTCTAAATCAACCTTCTTCGGCATATTTAGAATTGTGCTTAATATCGATATGTAATGAATATTCCCTGTTTCGGCATTTTCAAAACTGTGCATGTATAATGATATATTATTATTTATGTATTAAGTCATATGTAAGACTGTCTTACATGCATCAAGAATCCCTTATATCTTCAGAAATATATATTTTCATGCCCAGAATGATACGAGTAGGCGGCATGTATATGTAGTTTATTGCACATTTGTGTTCATAGATGAAAATGACCCCAAGAAGCACTGTGGTTGCCTTTCTACTATTGGTAATACAGTTCATAGGAATAGCTAACACACAACGTAAGTGAAAAATATTTTTCTTACATTCTTGGGAAAAGAGGATATCCAATTCATTTCACGAGTGAGCTAGGATAATTATTATTTACACGTGTGTGAAGTACGAGAACATTCAACAGCATTGAAATTTTTGTTTATTTCATTGGCTTTAGTGCTGTCATGTGGTAGTGTTTTGCATATGAATGTGTTCAAGTAATTTTTCACCGTGTAAATACAATTGCAACTTCTTGAGCCTTTCCGACAAGCGCAAAGAAAAAAAACTTCGAATGTGTTATGTAAGCTTCCATGACAAGCCCCCTTTTACATAAACATTGAAATATATGTAGAAAGACCTCTTATATCTCTACAGTCTGGAGTTTAACTTTATTGAATGTAAAGATATTACCTTAAATGCGCTTCAGAAGGGACACTCAACTCTGTCTATCCAATACTTTTATAAATAGGAAGCGACTCCATTTTGTAAAAAAATTTAACATTGGGTTCTGTAAATACATTCCAGGTGTTTTTCCGAGCTTGCCGGAAAGGCCCTAAAAGATGCGATTGCGTGCAAATACAGTAAATCATGATTACAGAGAACAAATTTAACAAGAATTCACGCATACAGTCAAGTGATTTTTTCATGTTATCAGCTATAATGAATAACGTCTATAACAAATGAAAATTCGTCCATGGCATTTTGCAATAAAAATTTTATACAGTACATGTTGGAATTACAAAAAGTTTGGAAAAAAATTGCTTCGAGAAAATTTTAAAGTTAATTTATTGTCTAAATTTACACATGGGAGTAAGGATAGTAAACAAGCAATCGTTTAAATGCTTCATAAAAATTAAAAACAGTGATTATGAAAGAAGACCCCTGAATATTAAAAAAGTTGTGAAGAACAAAAACACATAAATGTTTGAATTCCTTAGAATTTTATAATCTGAATTTTATTTATATCTTCTTGTTTTTATTCGTATTTCATATCCTTCTCTTTCTACGAATTAAGAAGATAACGAACAGTATTCAATCTCGAAAGTCCAATGAAACGATACAATTTTGGAGCAGAGCAAACACGGACCTCAAAATTTAGAGGTGGGAACAGGTGCCATGGAGGAGTGAGCATCCCCTGCCAGCCGGTCACTCCCACCGTGTGCTCCTTGTCATGATCGGGGGAAAAAACCGGAAAAATCCGTAGACAGTATAAATAATGGCCTAACAATTAGTATGAAAAACGTTAGTCAGTATTAGATAAGACTCAATGATAGGTTGTGTGTGCTGACAAGGTCATTGTATCGACCATAAAACTTGCGAAATGATGACTTCAAACGGGACTGTTGATATTCTTGTTTCACCAACTTGTTTGTCAATAGCTTGCCTCGTTTTAGAAACTGTTCATAGAGCATGCTCTTGCGTATCGAATCGATTGAGAGACATAAACCTCATATGCAGGTAATAAGAGTATACTACTACATAAGTAAGGAAAGTTAACGATTGAAAAGTTGAAATCATCACGTTTTATCATAAAGTTTTGTTGTAAGATTACCATTAACGTCTTTTTCTAGTAAAATATCTAAATATGAAACAGATGTGTCAGACTCTGTGGTATCTTTTATTTTATTTTATTTATTTTATTATTCATTTTTCCAGCGACTCCACTGCAATGTAGCTCAACCACCTTAACATTAAACCAGCTGTATGAAACGTACAAGTATCCAAATTCCGGTTTATATCCCCAGTGAGTAAACGATTTATTTTACTGTTTATCCAAAAAGTAAATATGAAGCATGTTTGCTTTCTTTTTTAAATCATTTAAAATATTTTTTTCATTAGTCCTGTTACATTTAATCACGTACTGTCATATATGATGCATAAATGTTTTAAACGTGAAATGATATTAATCAGAATTAATATTTATTCACTTGTCACTTTCATTGTGAATAGATCTTTGTTTTCAGGTTGACATCATGCAACTGGCTTTTTCAAGCAGCTGATCCAAGCAACAGAATAACATTCGAAGTAAAGGAGATTTTTGTTGATTGTGGCGACACACTCAAGTTCTATGATGGTAAGAGATTTGAAAAAAAACTTTTTTCAAGGAAAAACAATGTCAAATTGGTAGTTTAGCGAGTGTAGTTTTTTTTTCAACTTTAAACGTATATAGCTGTTAGATAAATGAAATTATAAATTCATCCACCACAGGTAGGAAGAAGAGGAGTAAAGTGTCCGAGAACATGAGAAATAATCTTGTTAAAACTGAAAATAATGGTCATAAATATTTAGATAATTTGAGCATATCTTTTATATATTCTGAAAATACAAAGTTGTACTATAAACCTTAGGCCCTCTCAATGCTTCACTATGGCTATTTCAGACAAATCCTTGACATCATTCGACACTTTAATTTGTACAAAGCACTTATAAAAGAATATTGAAAAAATTGAGAATCCCATGACATTTGAAAGTCAAAAAGTGTTTACAACTTACCATTATTAGTTGTAAATTGCTCTCAAGTATATCTAATTTCACCTTATACAAGAACCTCAAGTATATCATTTCTATATTTTCTGCAATATTCATCCATTCCATCATTTATTCAAACATGTGTACTTTTACTTTGAAATGAAAGTAGTAAATCAGCTAATCGGGCAATGCAAATACTTTTTTCAGTATTTTTCACTATTCCGTATAATAACTAGATTGTTCCAGGGAACGTATGTGTCGCCTGCTTTGTATCTTCATTAAAGATGTAAATAAATCTTAAAGTGGTCAGCTTTTTACTTACTATTAGTTTATGCATTTTCCTGAAGAAAAAAAAAACAAAAAAAAAAAAAACAAGAGGTCCATGGGCCACATTGCTCACCTAAGCATATTGGGTAGGAAAAGTAATATATAAGTAATCGTAATTTACCTCCGCTCCCCAAACGGGACAAGATTTGTTCAAACTTGAATTTACACTAACTGAGGATGCTTCCATATTTGACTAATCATGGCTTTAAAAGATTTTTTCTATATGTTAGATCTTCTATTGTGCCCCCGACCTACCCCCGGGCAACATGGTTTGAACAAATTTGAATCTACACTACCTAAGGATGCTTCCGAATTAATATGACTTATCATAGATTTGCTATTCTGGGGAAAAGATTTTCAACGATTTATCATGTGTATTCACATATAAAACTTAAATCGCCAAAATTTGGCCCCTCCTTACCCCTCGGGGTCATGATTGAACAAACTTGAATATAAACTACCCAAGGATGCTTCCACGAGTTCTTGAGATGAAGATTTTTCTTATGTATACCTGTGTAAAACTTTGATTGCCATTGCGGCCCCTTCCTACCCCCAGGTGTCATAGTTTGAAAAAAAAAACAACTTCAATTTACACTACCTGAGGATGCTTCCATATAAATATGATCAATCATGGCTTGACTGTTCTTCATAAGAAGTTTTTTTTTAAAAATTCCTATTCCTATGTCAAATTTTGATTGCTCATTGTGACCCCACCCAAGCTCCGGGGTCATTATTTGAACAAATTTGAAACTACACTACGAAAGGATGCATCCATATAAATACATGTATCATAATCATGGCTTGACTGTTCTTGAGAAGAATATTTTTAAAGATTTTTTCCTGTTTTCCTATGTAAAACTTTGATCGCCCATTGTGGCCCCACCCTATCCCCAGGGGACATGATTTGAACAAATTTAAATATACACTATGTCAGAAATATTTCACGTTTTATCTTTATTTAGCCCAGTGGTTATCGAGAAGAAGATTTTTAAATGACCCAACTCAATTTTTACTTTTTCTTAATTACCTCCCCTTGGAAGAGGGTGTGGGTCTTCATTTGAACAAATTTGAATCCTCTTTACCCAAGGATACTCTGTTATATACAGTTAAAACTGACACCGTCGGTTGACAATGGCTGTACATTTTGAATGCTACCCTCCAAAACGTGCACTTTTTAATTAAATTTAATTAAAATTACCTGAATGATAATATAGACTGTTTAATAATAGTGAATGATATAGTGAATAATATACCTGACCCATAACAATACGAAATTAGGTGGATCAATAAGATCTAATGCGTTTTCATTAGGACAGGACTGTGTGCAATGTTTATCTGTACGTTTGCTAATTTGTAATGTTTGTAACTTAAGAGTTTAATCCATATACAGGGTCATCTTCGAGTGCTCCAGCACTTACTACAAGTGTGTGTTGCTCGAGTATCAGCTCCTGTGGTTCATCAAAACCACCAGGAACCACCACCGGAAGTAACATATTTGTGGAATTTCAATCTGATGGAACACAAAATTCTTATGAGAATGGGTTTCAAGTATCCTTTTTAACTGGAAAGGATGAATGTAAGGAATTGACTGACACACACCAGTTTTATACGAGTGTACATTTAAGCAAGGTTTTAGCTCACCTCGACGAAATCGTGACTGAAGTGTTTGAAAAAAGTCCATTTCCAAAGTAATTATTAGTCAATCTTACAGGGTTGTTGTACGAAAGAGATACGTACAACCAGTCATGTAGCATGTATCAAGACTTTTATAAGTTATAAGTTAAAAGCCCATTCTTAGATGATGTAGTTAGATGATGTAGCTAGGTATGTATACTGCATGAGAAGACTTGCTTTTGAAGCTGCATGTGACCCATATTTGTTGATGAGTGATCAGGTTAATTTTTTTTTCTGTAATAGTTTTTAGAACTGGCCAAATCCAAAGTACCTGTAAGCAGTACTTGAACTATATTTGACTTGATGGTGAATCTAATTATGCAGAGTACAAGGCTTGTTTGGCATTGGATGCTGCATTAGACCTGCTGCTTTAATCCTGGATGAGTGATTTAAAGCAAGTCAACTATCAAGCAATAATTAGCCCAATCGCAACCGGACTTAAAAGGGGATGAATCTAAGGCACAATACCAAACTTGCTTCGGATGCTGTGTCCAATATATATATATATATATATATATATATATATATATATATATATATATATATATATATATTCTATATGAGTGACTAATTCAAAGTTCTTTTCCTGGAGAAAGTCTATTCAAAATAATATATTAACTCAACTTTGATCAAACATATATGAATGATTTATCTAAATATATATTCAATAACTGCTAGAGGATGTTGCATGTGGCATATATTTTAGTGTAATGGAAGGCACTGAATGTAGGATTTTCGATGTCATTAATAGTTCTTACTCTTCCTTTTCCTTGATACTTTGCTTTCCTATAGATAACTATCTTCGAGGTGAGCTCAGTTTCTGATTTCCTATGCTTTGATCTTCTGAAAGAACTTTGCCAAATCTGCTGTTTGTCATCTACTATTTACGAATTCGTAAATTGCGTAAATATAATAGCAAAATATATTTGATATTGCGTAAATATAATAATAAAATATATTTGATATTGCGTAAATATAATTTAAAAAATGGGAGAAATACTGGCAGAGCTTACTGATACAGTCCAATAGTCCTTGACCTATATATTAATTTTAGATGCACTGAAATAAGTGCATGCATAGTCTATAAGTAAATTTATAAGATAATTGAAATACTTCAGCATATTGTAATGGTAACAAAGTATGGAGAATTCTCCTCATTTCTTTTTCAGCCAATTGTGCAGTGTCAGGAGCAAACAACGTTGTTACACTGACTACTGAAACACCCTTGACATCTCCAAATTTTCCCGCCAAGTATCCACTGTAAGAATATATTACTTTAGTCCAAGTTCACCTGAACTGAATATGTATTTTCTAAAACGTAGTATGAGTGTATGTATACAATGCTTCAGTTCCAATTCCTATTACCATTCTTGAATTTTACTGATGCCTGCATCAGTAACGTATCTTTACTTTGCAATTCGTATACAACTGCAACGCTGAGATTTTCTCTTAATGATGTCGCGAAGTCTTTCGTACATTATAAACCATGTTCCATAGCTGCGAGAATATAGTTGGAATATAAATGTCAGATTCGGAATTTTGGCACTAGTATACATTAGTTCACAGCTAGATCGAATCACTTCCATCTGCAGAATAAGCCAAAACACCCACTTTTGCATTGCTTCTGTAGCATGACACATATCTAGGATCACTTTTTAGCTCAGTGAGCCAAAGACTCAAGAGATTTTTTTCTGATCGAAGAGCGTTTGGCGTCCGTCTGTCCTCCGACTATAATGTCTCGTGTTTCGCGGTTTATAAAGCGTAAACTTCCTCAACCCAATTTATACTGTATAAATTGGGTAGCTTTTGAATTCATTCCTTAAATACATAGATATTTAAAAAAAAAACCTCAAGGACAGCAAGCCAAATTTATTCATATTAAAAAGCTTTTATTTTTACGTTGTATAGAATCTAGGTTTTGAATCATGTGCACTGAGGTAGGGTGGGGCCACAATTTGGATCAAAGTTTTACATGGAATCATATTTGGAATTTGTTCACAATCTCTTTTCAAAAACAGCAGTGTCTTATTTAGATTAATATGCAAGCATTCTCAGATAGTTCAGATTAAAGTTTTTTCAAGTCATTTCATGTGGGTTAGGGAGTGGCCACAATAGGAAATCGGTATATGAAAAGGAAATTAATAAAGATCATATTTTTAAAAAAAGTAAAAAATAGCGAGGTCAAACTAAATCAGATCCACAAGGAACCATTCGAAAATTGTGGGGATTCATTTTTTTTGTTCAAATTATGGTTCTGGGGATAGGGTAAGGCAAAAATCAGTGAGCAGTTTTTACCTAATGAATCTTCCACAGAACAACAATAAAGACTATGTAAGTCATAATGTTTTTGAAGCTTCCACAGGATGTGTTATTTCAGATTAGGTTATGTCATAGGTTAGGTAATGTCATAGTTTAGGTCATGTCATAGGTTGGGTTATGTCGTCTTTTGGGGCTAGAATTGGGCCAAAATATGGCGTTAAGATTTTTTCATGTGAATAAGAAAACCCCTTTTCTATAAAAATAATCTCCTTTCTTAGAAAAAAATTACATGGGTGTTTTTTAATATTCGTGATTTTTTTTACAATTGCTTCCTCATTAGGATCACTTACCATTAAAAGTTGTTTCATGCGACATGCGGCGGAAAAATTCATGAAAACATTTCTGTTTTTGTTTGTTGTTTTTTCTGCTATGTTACCCGAGTTAACAATCCTGGATTCCTGGAATAATGTTCCAATGTTAAGGTATTGTTTACGAGAAAAAAAAAACATTGTCCTATTAAAATGACATACATTGTATAAAATATAATTACATGGAAAAATATTTTGTTTATGGATTACCCTAGGCAATATGAGTGTTCGCTTTTTTTCACCAAATTCCTGGTCTTTGAAATCAGACAAAATTAAGAAAAATTACGTTTTTATACAAAAATGTATTTTGGCCGACCTTGTTGAAATCAGACAATCTGTTTGTTTGTTTAACATCCCCTCGAGAATATTCACTCGTATTGAGATGGCACCACTTGCCGGTGGAGGGCTGCAAATTTAGACCTGTTTTCGGCACTTACAGCAGTGAGGGATCTTTTTCGTGCCAGCACCTACTGTGACACGGGTTTATACGGTCTCATCCGAAGGACCGGTCTCCACGTCCCGCTGTGGGATTCGAACCCCGACGTAAGGGTCAACCTTTCACTTCGCGTTTCTAGAACAAACTCTCTAACCACTGTGCCATGCAGGGGACAATATAATGAAGTTATGAGAACTGCAATTATAATGAAATAAATATGTATTTCATTTTATTTTGAATCAAGATATTCTGTATATAGTGTATGGTTGATGCAATAAACTTAATCTGTTCTCTTAAAGCAAACAAACAAAACCCAAATAAATAAATAAAAAATTAATAATAAATAGGTGCATATATATATATATATATATATATATATATTTGGGGGGGGGGGGGATCTGTGGAAAATAGGGCAAGCAAGTATGTGAATGTTTAATCACGTGCAACTCAATTTAAATGTATAATGCATTGAAAACTCTCTGCGCAGCTATGTTAAGGCTGTCCGAAGGCTTAATATGCATTAAAATATATACATTTTAATTTGAGCTAGATTTTAATTTCAACTTGTAATCTATGTATGAATTTGCAGTCAACTTGTGATGAGAGTGTAATCAGGTTATATATAATGCACTTTTGTGATGTCACATGACTTTGTTGATCACGTGACGGACACTTATAAATTCCTAAATGTTGCACAAAAATCACATCGGCACAAGTGCAAAACAACATTATTGAGAAAAAATTGTCATATAAGTCAATTCATTGTGGTCTTTGGTACTTAGAAAGTGCTGGGGGCAAGTATGAATTTTACTTCTTGAGAAAATATCCCACGAGAAATTAAACTTGACCACATACAAGGGGGCATTTCCCACTCTTTATCACAATTTTTACAAAATAGGATGAATTACATACAATCCCCCAGCAAAATTCAGTTAGAGGACATACTTCTCTAGTAGATTCACACTGAATATCTTCAATTTATCCTTATTAATCACTTGCGCCAGTCAAATATATACACGATTTATAAATTCTACCTCTGTCCACGGACGTGTAAGGGGGATCGTTTCACAGTCAATTTTTTTGTTATTGTTTGAATATATGCATATCGGACAAGTTAAAGGAATAGCGATATTAAATTGCAAATGTTCAACTTCATAACAGCACACTTAAGATTAAAGAACAATCCAGACACTTGAATCAAACAACAACGCTAAAAAATCTTTACCTGTCATTTGAGAGGAATGTAAAAGTTATGACACTTTCCCCGTCATTTCAGCTCAAGTAGGCAGTGACTTGACGTCATATGCTATTATGACGTCATATCTAGGTAGTTCAGAGAAGTTACTACAGTTGGAACAGTATGATATTTTACGGACAGCCTTATCCTAGCCGCGTGTATTTTGTATTAGTTTTTAACATTTCAGGAATTTCGAATGTACGAATACGTACACAAATCCAGGCGGCACAGTTACAGTTCAGTTGAAGTATCTTGATGTTGAGGAAGACACCAGTAGCCCCGGTGCTTGTTTTGATTCTGTGGAGATTTTTGATGGTAAATACATAGCTAAAAAAATCTTAAGAATTGACTACAGTGGGTTAATTACACTGCAGATTCCTACATATACATGTATGCCAGGGCTTTATTATCTCATAATGTCATGAGAAGAAACATTTGAGAAATAAACTAAATAACTGTTATTTTTATAATGCTGTAATACATGTGCCGCCTAACAGTAATTTTGCTGTATGAATTAAGTATGTGCCTAAAATAATCTACAGTAAATTCGTATTTTGAAATTGTATTATATATTTGAAATGTTTTTTTTTTTTTCATTCAAAAATAGGAGTTTCGACCAGTTCCTCCTCAATAGCAAAACTTTGTGGAACCACTGCTCCCACTCAGCCGTACACTTCCACAGGGGAAAGTCTCACCATAAAGTTCTCCAGTGATAAAGCAGGGACCAGAATAGGATTTTATGCCGATGTAGCCCCTGTCGGTAGGTCCTTCAATAATTTGTTTTACATTGTATCAATCTGGATCACATTCTAATAGTGGGCTATTTATTTACACTGTAATGAGTCTGAGAAAAAAACTTGTTGAAAATAAACTTAAGTAAAACCAAAGCTTCATATTTAATGAATGAGTCGATAATTTCACCTAGAAAAATCAAACTTTTTGTCAATGTAAACCACAGTTTCAAAGTTCAAGCTATAGGTTTTTCTAACTTTGAAACTGAAGGACTCCGCTCTTCAATTTTCAATTCATGCATAATTGGTTTTTGTTCAAGGGATTTTAGTTACCTATTACATTATTTACACAGTGAATTGTGGACGGATTTTTCTATTATTATTTTCTATTATTACGCGGCGGTGTGACCGGTCGGCAGGGGATGCTCACTCCTTCATTTCACCTGATCCCACCTCTAATTTTTAAAGGTCCATGTTTGCTCTGCTCCTGATTTGTATTGTTCGAACGGACTTTTGAGCCTGAATAATAATAATAATATAATAAATTTATAAAGCGCTAAATATTAATAAAATTACTCTAAAGCGCTGTGCAATAAAACGCAAATAAACATAATTTAAGAACTATGACTAGATTAATTACATGCAATTTAACTTAAGTGTATTAGAAATACATACGATTACGTCATTAAAAAAAACTTTGCATACTGTTCGTTATCTCGATATATTTCATTGATTTAATCAGACTTTAAAAAATTTTGGGTGTTGAAAAGAAATAAAGGCATGGAACTCCTTACAAAGGGTACCCACATTCGTTAATGAAATACTTTTAAATCAAATGTTCTAAACTTGCTAGTCATATCTATTCACATATAGACAATCTACATTACCATTAAATTTCATTCCGAAATTTTGTATACGTCCCGAGATATGCTGAAATCAATTCACAAATTGGCTCCTGGTCATTCACATGTTTGAACGCCAGTAAACAGTTGCATACTTAGCTGCTCAAGCTATCAACATTTTAAAGATGATTGTTTAACCCCAGATCGTAAGGTTAAGTCTGTAATAATCTCATCTGAGAAAAAAAACTTTACAGAACGTCTGCTTCTACAGCTGTACAGCTGTGTTGTTTATTGATGAAAAAAGAGCTATGATTGAACGAAATTTTCCCAGAATATATTATATACATTTAGATTTTTTTAAAAATTATACCGCTAAAATGTCGGTGGGTGACTTAGTAAGATAGTCAAAATCAGATAAAATTTTGTAGAGACTTGGTGCTAATAAGCCTATGTAAAGAAAGTATAGAATCAACTCCGTGAAAAATTCGTCCCGTCGTTTCCGCTTTAAAAATAGCGTAAATGATCAAAGACCCAAGCGAATTTCGAGGGAAAAAAAGGATCAATTTTGGAATTGATTTCAGCATATCTCGGAAGTATAGAATTTCGGAATGAACTTGGGTAGTAATGTAGATTGTTTATATCAAATTAAGAAATAAATAAGTTTAAAAATATCGTCCCCCACAGGATTTGATCACGTGACCGACCAACTTCATTTCCCAGTGAAGTTTTTAAAACTTGTTTTTTATTACTTATAATATAAGCGACCGTTGGTGAGGGCGGAGCCATCAAGTGAACATTTCTACATTTTATTGTTTAATGGTAGATCAGTGTTAAAATCAAATTATGTAACTAGTGTCAGGAAATCATAACAAAGTTAAGTTCTCTTACCTCAAATATTTTTCATTTCAAACAAATAAATTTAATGGTATTTGGTTTTATAAATCTGGAAAACTTTTACTAAGACATTTCATCATGAATTGCCTAGCCAGAGCACTCAAAATCAAATAGCATAACGGGGAAAGAGCGTGCACTGGACTTAATAACATAACTTCTCAGTGACAAAATACAGTTATGAATGAAAACATGTAAATAATTTGCAAATTTTTAAGTTAGTAAAAATAACTTTGAAGTTGCTTGAAGATTAACATAAATGAATGAATCATTTTCATTTTATTTTTCCAAGTAGTTTATTTACCACATAATGAAAGTAATGTTATTAACTGGTGGTTTGTACTTGGTATTTACGTGCGACTAAACTGGAAACAAAAATTCTCCAAAATAACAATCATTTATGTTTAAAGTAATCAAAAGTAATCGAAAAAGTAATTATAATTACACTGAAATTTTAACCCTAATCGATAAAATAACGATTACAAGTAATCGAAAATATCTTCGATTACAGATTAATGTCGATTACTTGAAAATAAATAATCATTTCAATCGATTACGATTACTCGATTACGATTAACCTATGCCTGGTGCCTTACCGAACTTCCGGAGTGTTTGTCAGCTGTTTGTGGCATGATTGCATTACATTGATAATTTCCAACAGATTTACAAATTTATCGTGAGTAAAGTTTAATGAAAAAAAAATTATAGCCTTGAGAGGTATACAAGAATAAGGCATTCTGAGAGTATTGCATTTGCAATACTAGTCCCCTACCGGCAAGTGTAATCTGGTTCCCTTTAAAAATTAAAAATGCTGTATTTCCGTCAAAAAGTCATTGAAGCGGAACATAATGCAAACTTGATCTGTAACTCATCAAGATACACTCACATACCAAAAATCAGCTCAATATCTGCAAGCGTTTAGAAAAAAAGTGCGGAAAATCCTTAAAAATTAAAAAGGCCCTAATTCCTTCAAAAATCAATGAAGCGGAACAAAATTCAAAATTGATCTGTAACTCATTAATATACACTTACATACTAAAAATCAGCTCAATATCTGCAAGAATTTAGAAAAAAAGGTGCAGAAAACCAAGTGGGACAGATAGACAGACGGACGGAAGGACTCAGAGGAAACCTATAATCCCATTCCGGTTTCACCGGTAGGGGACTAATATGGATAAACGTTGAGACTAGGGAGCTCAGACATGAAGCTTATAACACGTAGTTTTCTATTCTCTATGTAAAGTCGATCAAGAAGTGTATTAAATTCTCGTTTACATTGTAATGAAATATGAAGATAACGAACAATATTCAATCTCGAAAGTCTAATGAAACGATACAAATTTTGAGCAGAGCAAACACGAACCTCAAAATTTAGAGGTTGGATCAGGTGCCATGGAGGAGTGAGCAATTATGTACATAAAATTATAATTATTTTACTTGCGTATTTTATACAATTTTATACATGAATAGCATGCTATGTTGCTAAGTAGAGTAAGTCTTTTTATGAAGATATTACTGCGCTGCGTGTTTAGGTCACGTAATGAACTTATGACCTTCGAAAAACTTCATACAGGTATGAAGATATTTGCTCTCTGTATGTTTATATAATAGAGAGATACTACAAATGTGTGAAAAGAGTTCCATACCTTTTTCTTTTCTCAACAGAAATTCGGTGAAAGGGTGATAAAGATTACATTGTATCTCAGATGACGGCGACCTCATTTTATAGATTTTTTCCTCCGCAGTTCAGAAATATCAAAGTAGTGCCTTTCCCAACATTTAAAGCGCGACGTTACACAGGTTAATGTTGGTAGCACGTGACCTGTGTTGTCACATTGTTTTTCGACTTTTCACTCTGCGTAGAAACATTAACGCCATTTCAAAAGGCGTTATATTGCCTTTTTAAAAAGCGTAATAATGCTTTTTTTCGCGTTATTACACCTTTATTGGCGTTATAACGCCCTTTCACCTCGCGTTATTACGACTTTTTTCGCGTTCATGGGCGTTTTGAAAAAGTGTTATTACGACTTTCATTTTTTTTTTCACCCATAGATTGATCCTCATAAGTTTTCGTAGTGCATAGTTGTTAAACATTGAAAATATTTTTTACTGCTGCCGTATTTTACCGAAATATATTTCAGACAATGAAAATATATAATTAAATAGTGTTTGACATATAATTGAGATTGATTATTTCTTTTCTTTTCTTTTTTTTACAAGGATGTATAAATTTTCAAGTGAAACAGAAGTAATGAAGATTTTCTAAGCCTAAGTTAATTGTGAAAATCTAAAATTTAAATGGTTGAAATTCCAAATAATATTTTAATCACATTTATCCACATTTTGGATGAGCTGAATGACATTAATCAGGCTCTGTTCGAAGCTGCAACGTACAAAAAACATTATTTAAACGAAAGATGTATGCTTTAACGTGTTAAGTGTATATTCGGTGATTTTTTCAGGCTTATCTGTATAGAGGCATTACATAAAAGCTACTTGATAAAAACTTTTGTTTTCTATGGTTTACTGTACTCTATAATTGTTTACCAGGTTGAGCGTACACTATTATTTACTACAAGAAATAATTCTAAGGATACTCTCATAATTGCTAAATCATCAGATCTCATGATGACGTATTAATAGTATGAATTTTGAATGATAAATGAATTAGAATATGTATGTACATGGAATTAAAGTTTGAATATCATTTTTGTATTTTTGAAACTCCTATAAATAAAGGTATGCAAATATATTTACTGCATCAATAAACAAAGTTTATGATTCCTTTTTTAACGTGATTTTTGGGATTTTAGGGAAGGGGGTGGGTAGGAGGGGGAGGTAATTGTTTAGACATAACATTTTTCAATTTCCTTTTTGGTATATGTTTCTATTATTTGACTTGGTAAGGGGTTATAACTTCATGCCTATATTCTGAGAAATGTATTTATTGTCATCTGTAATAGGATTATTTGTATATTCTTGTTAAATTGTAGGTGAAGAAACAACAACAACAACGACCACAACAACAACAACAGCAACGACGACAACGACGACACCAACGACACAAACAACGACACCAACGACACAAACAACGACGACACCAACGACACAAACAACGACACCAACGACACAAACAACGACGACACCAACGACACAAACAACGACACCAACGACACAAACAACGACACCAACGACACAAACAACGACACCAACGACGACAACGACGACACCAACGACACAAACAACGACACCAACGACACAAACAACGACGACACCAACGACACAAACATTGACACCAACGACACAAACAACGACGACACCAACGACACAAACAACGACACCAACGACACAAACAACTACACCAACGACACAAACAACAACGACACCAACGACGACAACGACGACACCAACGACACAAACAACGACACCAACGACACAAACAACGACGACACCAACGACACAAACAACGACACCAACGACACAAACAACGACGACACCAACGACACAAACAACGACACCAACGACACAAACAACTACACCAACGACACAAACAACAACGACACCAACGACGACAACGACGACACCAACGACACAAACAACGACACCAACGACACAAACAACGACGACACCAACGACACAAACAACGACACCAACGACACAAACAACGACACCAACGACACAAACAACAACGACACCAACGACGACAACGACGACACCAACGACACAAACAACGACACCAACGATACAAACAACGACGACACCAACGACACAAACAACGACACCAACGACACAAACAACGACACCAACGAGGACATCAACGACAACGACGCCAAAAACAACAGGGAAGTGTTGTCGTAGACGGGGACGTAGATGTGGGACCCTCCGAATGAAAAGGAGGCACGTCCCATAAAACAGCTGAGGAAATGGACAGTGATTCTCATAGACTGAATTTAGAAATATATGTATGAAGAAGTGAATTTATTTTTTATTTCTCATTGTTTAATTTACTTCACTTCCAGCTCACTGGAAATGCTATTTTGTATACCTTTTTTAGGTCACATGAGTCACTCGGGTGACCTATTGCTTCCTGCTTTTGTCCGTCGTCGTGCAATGTGCGTCGTCCGTTAACATTTGAATATTTTCAGCTTCTTCTCTTGAATCGCTGAAGCAATTTCAACCAATTTTGGCAAATAGGATGAATGGGTAAAGGGGTAGAAAATTTGTGAATTTCATGCATATGGTCCCTGCCCCCCCCCCCCCCCCGGGGGCCTTAGGGCTGGGGCTAAAACCATCAGAATTAGTGCTATTAAAAATCTTCTTCTTTAGTCCTGGCTTCGGGGACACCAACGCTGAGATTTTCTCAAATCTGAGATTTCTCAGAAAATTTGAGTTTTTCTCACCAAACTGTCCCACCAAATTAATATTTTCTCAAACTCAGACTTATCTTTTGAGTTTTTTCTTAAATCTGAGATTTTTCTCAAATCTGAGATTTTTTTTTCAAACATGCGTGCCACCAACGTTTTTTCCGACTCAGCTGAGAAAAAAATATGAGATTTCTCAGAAAATCTTGAGATTGATGTATACCAGTCTCAAACAAAATCTCACAGAATTATTTTATGGTAAAATGATCGCATATGTTATGACAGTGCACATTTTATCCATGAATACACGAAATTAACATATACAAGCACAGAAAGAATGTTAATTTCTCCCAAAACTTGATCATCCTGTGAGGAGGAGTAATTACGCACATGTAAATATTCTTATTATAATATTTTCCACGCATGGAATCAAGCACTTTAAACTTTACTAAAAGAAAAAAATAATAATGATAATAAAGAAAAAAGAAAAAATTAATTTACAGGAATATTCTAGTGACACTTTATACATAACATGAACATGTATATCTTCATTCATTCAGAAATTAATTTAATTAATAATTAATGAAATGCATATTTTAGAGTGCTATTTGTGCCATGGCAAATTTATTACGTGTATGTAATTTGGAATATCCATGTATATCGGAAAAGGAAATATGACTAGATAAGATGTCAAATTAAACCTACCCTGCCCCTTCTTTGTTTTTGTTTTTTTTTTTCTCCGGTAGTTTTTACTATTACTACTTGACGTACAATATACTTATTCGTGTAAATTATACGCAGATATTAAAAGAAATCTGTCTAAAATTCCATGAACAAATATTTTGTTCTTTCGAAATAACATATAAATCACCATTTATTTCACTGATGATAGCAGTCTGTCTAATTTGGTTCTTAAATAAACCTATAGAATTCTTAATTGAGAATTGGGATCGACTTTATATACTCACAATGCATTGTGCGTAAACTTATATTCTTGTCTGTTTATATTATTTATAAGAATAAACTTGACTTATGGCCATTCTGAGGTACATGTATAAATCTGAACAAAAACTGCATATATTCAACTGCACTTGGCCGAATGGAATTTTTTTATACAAACTATTTTTTTGTACAAGTAACATTTTAAATTTAAAAAAAAAAAGTATGGACCGTAGTTATTACGTTAAAAATATTACATCATTACGCAGTGAAACGTTTATTTACGATCTGATATAAGGGATTAATCAATTTCTGATCACTTGATGAGCGTATGCGAGATTGACTTGGGTTTCCAGTGTAACGATGAATATTGGTCAAGTGGTGCTATATTCGTTGCTTATTGTTACATATATTTAAAAAGAAATACAAAGACTTTCCGTAACATTTTCTCACACGGGGTGATCCTGAAATTCCCGACAATTAAAAATTCCTCTCAGATTTCTTGGTAAACAATCCTGTAAAACGTTACCCGCTCCTGGATATGTTCGCTGTCCATCTTATCATACTTACGCCCAATATTACGAAACACTCAAGAAATTTATTTCAGCATACATGTATGAGAATGTAGCTATTTGTCGACATTTTCTTTTAATTTTGGATCTGCTGGGGGAAAAAAATCACTCAGGTTTATTCTATGTATACAAAAAGTCCCTATAACTGAAATATTTTTCTTTTCCTACGGGGAATTAGAAGAAAAATTATATATCTGACATTTTAAAACAAAAGAAAGAAAAATCGGTCTGCGAAATATAGTTTTGATCCGCCTACCTACTTTTCGTAATCTTTCTACACGTAACGTCACAATGGCGGAAATGACGCCTCGGTGTATGTTTTTGTGTTTTTATGTCGACAGACGAGCCAAGACTGCAAAGTTTGGATATGGTTTTGTGTTATTCTTCTGTAGGGATTTTTGTACGGGGATTCGGTGAACATTTATGGTCGCAAAGGTCGTAATGGAATCCTTTCCGTTGAATGACTCGAAACAGCAAATAAAAGACGAAGGAAGTTGAGAATGTTTATTTTCGCCATAATTATACACCAAAATATTGCATAAACAACTAACTGAAAGGTAAATTCAATAATTGATTCAAAAATTCCGTGCAAGATAGGAAAAAAATTCGCATATAACAACGAGAATAAGTCTAAGATTTTTCTCAAATCTCAGCTTACGTGAGTTGAATCTCAGAAGTGTTGGTGGCACGGTGTTATAGGAAAATCTCAGATGAGGCAGAAATCTAAGATTTGAGGTTGAGATTTGAGCTAAGATTTTTATATGTTGGTGGCCCCGAAGCCTGGACATCAAGCAGTCAGACTGTTGGCATGATTGGAATGCCTTTTATTTCAAGTTCACAGGGATATATCGGATCGACATATTAATGAGAGCAACTATTGTTAATTGATAATACGTCGTCGATATATTTAAATGTCGAGATGATGGCCACAGCGAGCGTTTTCTCTTTCTCATGTAGAAGTTTTTGAATAAATTGAATTAATGAATTTAAGTTCAAGTAGATATTATGTGATTTTTTTTTTCAAACTTAGTACTTCTACAATTTAGTCTCATTTCAATAAATCTTGGAAAACAGGTTGAAAACACCAATAATTAAAATAATTTTATGGATCTTTTTTTAATGGCGGTGAACATGATTACTAGAACACTTATTTCTGTGAAAATCTTTCAAAAGACTACTACTATTTCTCCTACAGTTTAATCTGATTAAAATAGTGTAGACACAAGCTTGTTCAGGCAGTGTAGACACAAGCCTGATCAGATAGAGTAGACACAAGCTTGTTCAGGCAGTGTAGACACAAGCCTGATCAGACAGAGTAGACACAAGCTTGTTCAGGTAGATAAGTGTAGATACAAGCTTGTTCAAGTAGTGTAGACACAAGCATATTCATACCAGGGTCTCTGGAGTGGACAGAAAAGGCGATATAAACTTTTGATAAAAGCTCATTCAGCAATCTCCTTCCTAGAATGTAAATCATATACGGTGCCAGTTTTGATGCACCATATGCACATTTCGACAAACAATATCTCTCCAGTGATGCTCATGACAAAACGTTGGAAATACGAAATAAAAAAATAATTTTGAAAAGATGAAAAAAGGGTGCCAAAGAGTGGAACCAAATACGTCGAAGGATCAGAGATATGCATGAAGGAGAAAATCCTTAATTTTGAAATAAATTGTCGAGTAAAAAAATAAAGGTAAATTTTGGAATTGATTTCAGCATATCTCGGCAAGTATACAGAATTTCGGAATGAATTCGGATAGTAATGTAGACATAGATATGAATAGAAAGAAAAAAAATATTTAAATGATTTGATATAAGAGTATTATTTTCGCAAAGGCGGGTACGCTACGTAAGGAGTTTCATACCTTTACCTTTTTTACACCCCAAATTTTTCGTAAGTCGGATTTAAGAAATCCAAAGTCCAAAAAAGGAGGGATAACTGCTGATATGATGAGATATATCCTATAGTTTTACCAAAATGAATTTGAAAAAAAATATTGCTTTCATCAATTTATTTTTCAAAATTTACAAATAGAACGAACCTTCTTAACGACGACATTTCTGCAATAGACTTTTTATTCAAATTTTATTTTAAGGTAAAGTGACTTTTGGTGAGTTAAAATCAACTAAAAAACTCATATGGTCATCGATGTAGATTTTTAATTGGGAGCGTTTCAAAAGCTGGAGACGGAAATCGTTAAATACTACAGGAATTAATAAGAAATTGCTAGTGTAGGGTAAAAGAGTGATCATTGAAAAAAAATCTGCAATAGAATTTTTATTCCTATTAAAGGACAATGTTAACTAGACAATTTGCCAGCAAATTATGCCAAAAAATAAATGAGTCATCGGCTTAGATTTTTCAGGGGAGCATGTCAAACTCAGGTGTAGGGCACATTTTGAGGGAAATTTTCAATGAAAATACCTTGGCCAAATAAATCTTTTATTAATAAAATTAACAAATGAATATAAATCGAAAGATTTACAATATTTTTGAATTGAGAGGAAACAATTGAATATCTTTAAAAGGATTAAAAATGTATTTATTTTTTGTTTATCTTTTGCAATACATAATTAAGTCAATTTGATTCAAGGCATATGCGCGGTTTTCTGCGCAGTGGCGCGAATATTCGAAAGAGGTCCGTCGTCCTTAACATCCTTTAAGTTTAAGATAAAGTAAATGAAATGACGCTATTTGCAACAAGAATACATCTTTGCAAAAAAAAAAAAAAAAAAATCCTTTCTGATACACAGCTACCTGTAGAACCCCCCCCCACCCCCCCCCCCCACCCCATCCATCACTCCACCCGATATTTAACACCGTCGGGTGTTTCTTCAAAAATTATTTTGTTACATTAATTTGTCATGTACACCAAGGAAAAATTGAGAAAACCCCAAAAGTAATATTTCCACATAAAAATACCCCACTATACATTATAAGTGAGAAAGGATGTCACTCCGGTTTGTTTACATTGTTCTCCCGATGGTCTTTCTGGGTTAAAGACGTTTTTTTTTTTTTTTTTTTTTTTTTTTTTTTTTTTTTTTTAATAATTTTTTTC